GCGGTTACTCGAGGGGGTGCTTATTTCAAATTATGGCCTAGGGGATTGGCGCAGTGACGCTTTTCGGGGTAGGGCGCTTATTAGAGCATGGGCGTTTACTCGAGGAAATACGGTATCCGGACATTCCGATGAACATATATTATCTTAACTTCAGAGGGTGATACCTATTGCTCAAAAGCAGTGACGGTCAATTACAAATTCGATTCATACAAATAATTGTCATTCATCTGATTAATCAGATTTAATTGCCATCGGGATCAGTAGGCGATGGGAAATGAGGCGGACACTCGGTACATGTGCGCATGTAGAAATCTTGAGGCTCTGTGTAGTGGCAATTGTTGGACGTTGCTTCAGTGCAGCGTGGTTTGGGGCGGCTCGGACACTGCCAGGGCGCGAAGGTCTTCGCTTTGTCAACATCTTGGGGATCTTTCATCCAAGCAATGATCTGAGATGGAGTTAAGATCCAAACATCTCCCAAATCCAGGGCATACTTGAGAAACTGTTTAGCCGCCTTCATGTGATCGGTTGTTGGAGGACGAAGGAAAAACGATGGATGCATGTGCATTCCAAAGGGTGCTCTGTTCGTGTCGTAATGGTAATGGAAGTTTCTCGTCAAAATCTCTAACCAGACTGTAGCATTTCCATCAGGATCGCAAGCATCCATCATTGATCCGCATGTCGAGTGGTCTTTGTTCATAAGGTTGACGTTAGGCACCTCCCACAGTCCTGGGTAGGACAATTTGGGACATGGTTCTTCTTCCGAGGGACAGTTCTGACTTGACAAGTAGTCCAAGGTATAAGGGTATATGGGCCCCTTTCCATCAAATATGATGTTTGAGGGCCAGGAAAGGTCATAAGTAAATTTACCAAATTTACTCGTGTTCAACGCTTTGAACATGTTCTCTGTAAACATCAGGTATGGAGCTCGAAATCCGACAATTTTATCGTAAGGTACGTTGGCAAATCTGCGAATGAAAGTAACTTTGTTAACACTTTAACTCCTATTAATGACCAAAACAGAATTTCTCCTTACAATATAAATACAGTATCAACCAGATAAGTGATGAGAATAAAAAAAACCAATTTAGGGATAATTAGTTGATCAAATACTAAATTCTCTGAACTAACATTATAAGAATTGTATCGTTGACATAAAGGATTTGATCTGGGAGTCAAAGGGGTCAGGGACAAGTGATTGTCTATCGCTTGGGAGGTGGGGTGGGGAGATTTTGAGGGTGGATCAAATGCATGGTTTTCAGCAGAAATTTTATAATTACAGAAACTTTATCATTACACAAAAAAATTTTCCAACCTTCCCCCAACCTGTCCAGGCGCGTAATAATGACAAGTCTCAAGAAGCACTTGTGACTTCAGTAGTTTCAGTTCCCATTGTTAATAATTTAACAAACAGATTCCGAGTTGCCGTGCGTCTGTTCAGTAATAGATCACAGATGACGTCAAAATGTGGTAAGAACAAAAAAGTGGCACGAGGCGAAGCCAATTGTGTCACTGATGTTCTTACCACATTTTGACGTCTTCTGCGATCTATTACTGAACAGACGTACGGCAACTTGGAATCTATTTGTTTTATATAATAAATAATTAAAATATACGGAAAAAAGTTTTAATGATGACGTCATCTATACGTATGTCCTCCAATAGATCATACGTGAGAACCAATCAGAATGCGTGCATAACTGAGCTTATTATATAAAGTAGAATATATCATGACTACAAAACCGGGCAAAAATTAAAAAATTAAAAAAATTAAAAAAACTGAGGAACGACGAGCGGGACAAAATTCTAGGAATTCTTATCGTCAGATCGTAATGGATGATATGGAGTACTCTTAAAAATTTATTGAATTGAAATGGGACATAAACAACTGTGAAGATTAATATCGCAAACTGACTATGCAGGGAGAGTTTTCCGGAGGAATCAGTAGAGAAATAAACAAAGATCAGCGAAGATCAGAAATCTTGATGAGCCCCTTAACTTAGGAAGCAGTAACTTCCCGACGTATCAAGGTTTCTGCACGGGCATATATTTTTCCACAGGATACGTTTAGGCAAATCGTGTGGAACCGAAACATGTTCCATGGATTTTAATAAAAATTTGTCACGCAACATTTACACAAACTTTTTCCGGGAAAATGAGAGTTGGCGTATTTGCCAATGCGCGGAGTATGGCAGAACTCGACCGACTAGATCGCGTGCGTACAAGGGCGATTCTTCAGTATAAAATGTATGGAAAGAAGGGAAAAAGTGAGAAATTGCACATGGATCTGCCTCACTCTACAAGCAGCTGCATTCGCGTGGGAGCGTGTGTGACTCTAGAAAACTGCTCAACCTACTTACCGATGCAAAATCTCTTTTTGCCCATCAATCTCGTTCTTCCACTCCGTGTAATCTGCGTTTTCCCAGTATGTGGTGGGTTCTTGATGCGTCACTGTGTGATCAGAAATCTCATATCCTCTGGAATATGCAGTTTCCACTAAGAAGTAGTCGGTATAGTTGTGACAAACGAACAAGGTTCCTACAGCAGGGCAGTTGTTAGGATTATGTAGTTCGTCGAAGAGTTCATTATATAAGTCAAAATATTCTTTTTCGTAATCATCATCGAATGTGACCATGATAATCTGCGGTGTTTTGTCAGGAGTCAATCCTCCGGGAGGTCTGCGATCTTCGCTGCATCGGCAGTTTGGTGGCAGGCACTTATCAGGATCGCAAGGCTGAGCGGGTTTGAATTGACCTCGAGTCGGTTGAACTATAAATAACGAGAACAGCCACAGGGAGACTTGAAGATTCATCGCCGGTTAGCTTTCCCTGTCTTGAGGAGGAGCGGATATCCCAAAGTTTTCTTACAAAATCTGCTAGAGGTGGCGGCAGTTAAGCTTTATTGTTTACCACTTTTCTCAGAAACATCAAACTTCCTGGTGAAAATGACCAATAAGCTCCTATCAGTAGTTCTTAGAAATCACGTGAAATTCATATGATGAAATTAGCATGACACCCCTGACCTCCTCTGAGCCTCGATGCATGATATTGACTATTAGCCGCGAAACGGCTAAATAATTTAGCCGTCAGGCGTAAAAAATTGACAAACTTTCATCGTTAGTCGTAAAAAAGTTAACCGTGAAAATTTTAATTTACTTGAGAAGCTAACCTGTAGCCGTTCTATGGTCAAAATTTTAATCTGTTACTCGTAAAAGCCATAAAAATGGTCCAAAAAATGGTCCAAAAAATAGTCCAGTCCATATTTTACTTTATGCCTAAAAGCCATCACCCTTTTGAGACCTTCTACTTCACATATCATTTTTTCACACCACAGGTAACCCGAGGTCCTTACGCGGATACATCTTCGATCACCAAGAGATTATTGATAATTTCTTGTCTTCACTCAAATTGACGTCATTCAGCAGTAGGGAATGAAAAGGTACGTGTTATCGTATGGTTTTAGAGAAAACCACAAAATGCCTTCTCTGCCTAAGAAATATTCTTTGTCTTTGTTGCAGTTCTCAGCTGGATTTGTAACTTTTTGAGTGGTTTTTAGTTTTTTCCTTCTTCCAAATAAATAAGAAGACGTGAAGGAGTTTTAAAAACCGGGCTAGATCTCTGATCACAGAGGCGAGGTCTCACTCAAACTTCTGACATTTTATTTTTATATTTCAGCCGTGATTTCTGATCCATCTATGATGAAAGGCAGGGACTGACCTCAAAAACTTTGGGAAATGAAGGCTATTACACATCTCAGATATACACTGAAATGGGAAAGAAATGATGAAAAATTATTATCGTTTTAAAACGAAATTTAAAAAAAAAACTGTCTTCAAATATTACTGGGTTCTAGTTTCCGGCTTGCAAGGATGCCAACTTCCGGAGCGCTGTAGTTGATCATGTGATCAATTGGTCCAGAGTGGAGCGCACGAATCTACGTCCCGTTTTCTCGCCTAATTACATCTCTACGGACTTCTGTGAGTCACCTTTGTCTTTGTCTTTGATTCGCTTTCAAATTATATTACAGCAGTTTCATTTGTGCATTAATTTTCGTTCTAAAAAATTTCGATCATGGGAATATTCCTCCTTCGTTTAACGACCTCGACGTAGGTTAGGTGGCGTGAAGTCCATATGTATAGATGCAGTTTTTAACTTCAAATACATTTGCTTCTCAGGATGGAAATAAGTTCCTTCTCAAAGCTCCCCTTTATTCAGAAGGCTGAGGTCATCTTCGGCTAGTATTCGTCTCGAAACTGGAAGTCACTGAAGGTAAATTAAACGCTTGCCGGAAGTCCGTCTTAGAATTCAATTTGATAAAGTACGGAAGGTACCTCGAATTTCCTACATCTCATTGAATCACGATCATTTTAGTGAGCAAATATACTTATTATTTTAAATTGTTAGCAATTCAAAGCATGCCTTCGAAGTAAACCTCAGACAGGTCATGGATTCTGTCGCTGCTGCTTGAAACTAACTTTGAATGGTGTGCATAATCTATAGCTTCTTAAGTTTCATTTGAATAATATTATGATTTTTATAGGAAAATATTTAAAACAGTCTTTTAAAGCACTTGTTTGGCCGTCTCCACTATTTGAGTCGTTAACATTTGTCAGTATAAATGCAATTAAAGAAAAACTGTTTGTTTATTGTTTATGGTGAGATGTTTTGCTTATGGATCATGAAATCACTAGCCAGTAGTTCTCAGATTAGCATATTAGCTGTTAATCAAAATGATGTAACATTGAAATCTTAATATTCAGTCAATGGCAATTGGTTTAGTGATAAAAAATTCACTTCACTTCAATAAGTGAAGGGCTTTAAATAGGTTGTGATTAGCTAAAATAAAAAAATGTGTTAATGTAACTTATTTTATTTCAAGACAAAGGTCATGTCGTTGTCAAGTCCTACTTCAACAGCTGGCCAGCTGCACAAATTATGCCGTGAGGGGAATGTGACTGAAATCCGTCTATTGCTTCGAGAAATATCCGATGTCAGCAAATTGGATGAGCGTCTGGGTTTTCTGGGATACACTCCACTTCATGAGGCAACTAACTTGGGACAGACCAGTGTGGTTAGATTATTACTTCTGTTTGGTGCCAACCCAAATGCAAGAGCCAATGGATTTTATACACCTCTTCACATTGCAGCATCAATGGATAACTTGGACTGTGTGGAAGAACTTTTGAAATATAATGCTGATATTACCAGCAAGGATGAGTTTGAAAAAACTCCATATGAAACCGCTGTGATTAATAATTGCAAGAGGACAGCTCGCGTCCTCAAAACTGAAGGTAAGTGAAATTAGAGAGAGTTCGATTGGTTCATATTTCAAGGATCTTTAAAGAATTATCCATGGGAACACCTCAAATCATTCCCAGGTTAATTTGATCAACTCTTTCAAGTGATCACCATCAAAAAGCATCCCCTTAACTTTGATACCCAATGAAGAGGACAGTCTATTAGAATAGAATATTAAAATCTGAATTTTTCTTATGTCAGCTATTTCATTTCTCCTTTCCATTTTAAAATGCTAATATTTAGATTTAGGCAAGCCTTAAAGCGGAGCTCGCCTTTTTTTTTTTTCCTGCACATCTCTTCAATAAACTAAAGCCCTACCATGGATAAAGTGCATGGTAATATTAGAGGATTTTCATTCACAACTCCTCTGTGTCCGTGTAGAGGACTGATTATAAGATAGTGCTTGTGGTACAGCTGGCCGCGCATGCTAAAAGTAGCACCTTGTACGTTCATACGGTCGTACAGTCGTATGGTTGTACGGTCATATGGTTGTACATCCAAATTTTTCGGCTTGATAGGTTACTACTATTTTGTATAATTATGGGGCTACGCTCTGCGAGCTCCGCTATTAGGGTTAGAGGTAATCAGAATTAAGAAAATTATCAACTAGATTACCTCTAGAGGTATCACACCAAATTCTTTAAACTAGCCAAAAGAAAAAAATACAGCCAACAGTGAGGAGCATCAGCTTTTTTATTTTGGATTGGAAAGGAAAAGATTTTCATACAATTCTGTAGTGATGTAACACAGGTGCTCTAACCCTTTGACTCCTGAGAGTGACTAACATCTAATTTCTCCTTACAATATCACCTCTGAATTGTTCATTAATGTCATGAGAATAAAGGAAATGATCATCAACTAAAGAAGGTCTTGATTTTTAAACAAATTCTCCCTGTTAGCTCTTTAGGAAATGTATAGTGAACAGTATGGAGAATATGCTTAGTGATATTAGGGTGTAGAGGGCTAAACTCTATTTCAAAATTATCAGCTACAATTCTGTGAAGATCAATCCCAGAATCTTTTTAAGAGATCCATGAAGATTTTTATAAAAGACTTAAGTGATTTTCCACCTCTTCAACACTGTTACTTTTTATTTAACAATCAATTTTATAAGATGCTGTTGATAAGGATCTATAAACCCCTCTACTAGGGGGCTTCAGAAATATTACTCCAGTAATAATAATAACAGTAAATCCCTGATGATCTTCCTTTGTAATCAGATTTGAAATCTTTCTGACTAGTTGCATGATTTGTTCTACATTTTTATTTCAAGAATAAGCATGATTCAGGCTTAATTTTGCGACTTTTCTTTTAGTCACCTTAAAAGTTGGTTGTAAATAGGGTTTGATTCTTTTCTTTCCTAAGAAAATTGTCTTTCATTCTCCCCACAGAGGTCAAGAAAGCAGCTAGAGAGAACAGTCCCAAGTTACGTGCATTGCTGACGTTAATTTCTCCCCAGGATGTTTTACACTCATGCTTTAAGGAGGCTCTCCTTGAGGCATCAAGAGCAGGTCACCTCGACGCCATTTGTTCTTTAGTCCTCTCAGGAGGGAGACATTCTTTACACCTTAAAGACTGCATTGTGCAAGCATTACAGGGTCATTTCTGTGAGGCAGCAGCCATGTTGCTGGCATGTTATGCAGCAAAGCATGATAAAAAGAAGCTTCTAAAATATCTACTAAAGGAAGAAATGAGCAGAGAGGAAGAGCAGAAGGCTATTGCGGAATTGCCAGCTGCAGTGGTGCCAACCGAGGATGATTTTGCCCGAATAAGGTATTTGGAACAGGTCATTGTTGGCTACATCTCTAACAAACCATTATTATCGGCAAACCCTGCTATCCTATCTATTTCTCCCTTCCCTTTTCCATTTTACTTATAGAAAAATGAAGGATTGTGGTGTCAAGGTGGCATCATCATTTATTTGGAAGGAGGAAATTCATTTCTATTTTTTTTCACCCACCAAGACCTCGGAAAAATCAAATGGCAGACTGAAATACCCTATTCCAGTTGAATAATAAAAAATGCCATACTTTTGTCTTTGCACATGATCTTTGGGTCTGAATTTAGACCAAAAGCTTCCCAATACTAACAGTGTGCTTTAACTGCCATGCTACCAAGTGCGATAATAAGAAATATATACCTTTCCAGCAGGGGTTAGGCAAACTTTCCATCAATCCTGACATGTTTATAAACTAAGGTTAATTTGTTTTATCGGCAGGGCATGTATTGCTGACAAAGATTCATTTCATATTGCAATACCTATTGGACTAGGAATTCAACAACAACGAACAGAAGCTGTGGGAATCATTCTCTTCAATACAAACTGCAATGAGGCACAAAAAAGAATTGATTGGCCAAGACTTGCTCTTGGTGATGTCAATCCATCTTGGTTGGAGAAAGTCACATGGGTGGAAAAACTCTACTTAGCTTCAAATCTGCTTCTAAGTGTACCAAAAAATATAAAGATATTAAATAAACTGTACTGTTTGGACTTGAGAAGAAATCAATTAAAGAGTATACCTGCCAGTTTGCTTGAAATGCCAAATTTACGAGAACTTAAGCTCTGCTTCAACAAAATTGTCGAGCTGCCTAAGAGATGTAAATGGAGTCCATCACTCAAGATGCTCTATTTGAGTGATAATCAACTGCAAACATTACCTGGACGCATGGCAGAATCCAAGTTGTCAATATTGTACATAGCAGGGAATAATTTGTATGAAGTACCCCCATGTATTTGCAAAATTACAACACTACAATCACTGGACCTGTCTAGCAACCCAAGACTGACTCAGCTTCCACCACAAATGGGAAGACTCACCAATATTGAGATGCTCAAATTGGAGAATTTGGATCAGGTGAGAGAAATAAATAAGATATGATTATATGAGAACCGGCAATCAAAACTATAACAAAATTCTCTCGTCATTAGTTATCACCAGCCTAAATTGAGCACTGGTGGGACAGTGTATGCATTGTGCTAGTATTTGGACAGAATAATTGGACAGTTCATGCAACATACCTATGTAACTGGAGGGTACTGATCACGAGCGTGCACTTTTGTCCCACATCTTGCCAAGTTAATTGTTGCATTTCATGAAAATGTGTCATCAATGGCTAGTTTTTTTCTCAAATTTTGTCATAGTTTCTATTAATTTACGGTATGTTTGGATATCATGCTGTCCAATTCTGTTTGAAATCATACTCTTAATTAACAAATCAGACTCTTGCTTCACTGTCATCCAATTTTGTTTGTCCCTCACATGATAACAGACCGAATTGGACTCCAATCAAACCTATTACCCTTACTAACTAGGATAGGGGACACTCAAGTTAACCAGCCTCTAGTAATTTGGAGCAGCACTTGAAGGCAAGAAGTTTTCCATGCAAGAGCGAGAGAGAACACTTGCTCAAGATTTTTCTAAAATTTGTTGTTTTCCCTCTTGGTAAAGAGCTGTCCAGCACAATGAAATCTGTTATTCAATGGAGGTGCAAGGGAGGAAATTTAGACTTTACACTGATGAATGTAATGGATCCACATGGTCAAAAAACTTTCTAATTTTCCATCATTTTTTAGAGGCCATTTTCTTGTGCTTCATTGCTCTTTTTTACATAATTTACTTGCTCTATTGTCAAGTGCTTATTACAAGGTTAATTTTATTGAGAAAGTTAAAGTATGTAGCTTCACTATTAATCCTTTGACCCCTAAGAGTGACCAGCATCTAATTTCTCCTTACAATATCACCCTTGAATCACACATTAAGGTCATGAGAATAAAGGAAATGATCAACAACTGAAGAAGCTCTTGATTGTTAAACAAATTCTCCTCATCAGCATCTTAGAAAATGTATAGAGAACAGTATGGAGAATAAGCAAACTGAAGTTAGGGTGTAAAGAGACAAAGGGATATCTAGAGAATGGCTGTTCCCGGAAATTTTACAGTGTTTGCATGACAACCACTGTTTATAAAAGACTTTGTCTCCACTGACTTAGAGCCCAGAACATACTACAATTAAAAGGCTGTTTTTATTAGTTAAATAATACTTTCTATTAAACCCATTAAGCTGACAGATCCCCCAGAAGAGATCAAGAAAAATGGTATCAAAACCATAATGTATCTTCGGAACATCTTGCGCAGGTCAGAGGGGTATTACACTTTGAAGCTGATGTTGGTTGGTCGGGCTGAACAGGGAAAGACAACGTTGAAGCACCGACTGATGAGGGACTATAACTATAATGTCAACAACTCAACAAATGGTAGAGATTTTTTTTCTTGCTTTTATTTCTTTTCTGTAAGAAAGCCCCTCTTTTAACAAGACTCCTCTGATAAGCTTCTTCTTCATAATGAGTCCCCGTCTCAGATATCTTCCCCTTCCTTAAAGTCCTTGTTTCTGATAAGTTCCCGTTTCTGAAAGTCACTGTCCCTAATAAGCTCCACTCTCTCAAAAGCCCCGCCTCTAAAATGTTCTCCTCACTGAAATGCCTCCTTCTAGTGAGCTCCCCTCTGACACGCTCCCGAAATTAGAAACCGAAATAAGTTACGACAGAGAAAGGAAAAATAACAAATAATTTTGCTGAGAGAATTTTTCTTTCTCTGCTAGGGATTGCTATGGACGAATTCCGTTACAATCGCAAAGATTTTGGTCTCTTTTCGATCCATCCGGAATTTGTGTTTAAGATTTGGGATTTTGGTGGCCAGGAGGATTTTTATACCACGCATCAATGTTTTCTTTCAACTCTGGCTCTGTACCTTCTGGTATGGAATCTGGAGGAAGGTAATTATCATAAATTTGGGCGTTGAATGAACTTTTGCAAATTCCATACCTCTTGCTTATTAGAAAACAGAAGTTAGATTTTGAAAAGGGGGGGGGGGAGAGAATTAACTTGGGAATTCGTGTGTAACACGGTAGAATAAATCCTTCCTTCCCGCCCCAAGCACCTCTGTTTTTTGTTCTTTAGCCGTTAAGGGATGGGATACAACTAAATTGTCTCCAGATTCCCTCCGACAGCGGAGGTCGATAAAGTTATTGAGAAAATCGTTTGGTTTTTCAGGTCAAAATTCATAAAGGAGTTTACCCCCTTAAGGAATTTTGGAAAGCTGACGCAATGAAAATAAGCCTTCCCTGGCCGAATCGCTAGGTTTTTGAAAATCTGCTAGTCGACCTTCCTTTTTCAATTTACAATTGATAACCATCTCATAATTTCACTCGCTCACCGACGCAGCACAACAATTTCTCCAGAAACTACTGAATAATCTGGTTTTGAAATGATGAGCAATTCAAGTTTGCGTTTGACCCTTTAACTCCGATGAGTGACCAAGACAGAATTTCTCCTTACAATATCAACAGCATATCGAGCAGACAAGTGATGAGAATAAATGAAAGTATCAATTTGGATATTATTCGTTAATCCAATACCAAATCTTCTAAACTCGTATCATAAGAATTGTATGGCAGACAGCAAAGAGAATTATTAATGAGATCCTAGGAATAAGAGGGTCAAGGGAAGTAACTCAAACGGACATTTCTGAAAGCCTTTCCAATTTTCGGCAGGTGAAAGAGGAATCGAGATGCTTACGAGCTGGTTGGACACAATTGCTGCCAGCGCTGCCAACACCAACCTCGTCATTGTGGGAACACACCTGGATAAGGTACGGAAAGAGAAGGAAAAGGGGTTCCCAGAGCGCATGCGTGAACTTGTATGGGAGCTGGTTTCTTTACCGAAGTACAATCGAATAAATGTCAAGGGAATAAAAGAAGTCAGCTGTGCTGTGGACAACAGAGAAGGTATCTTTGCTGAAGTGATTTTAGGATTACATCTTTATTTCCTTCCCTCCATTTTTGATCCCCTTGTGTCCATTCGTTACGATTTAACTTAAGCGGTTTATTTTGTTTTCAAAATACAGGCATTGATGACCTCAGAGTCACCATTTACGATGTTGCAAGGAGCCTTCTGAAGAGCGGCAGAGGACAGGTATTCGTCATGGGGGAAAAAATCCCACATAGTTTTCTGTCAGTGGCAGATGTCATTCAAACCAAGCGACAAGAGCTGCGGGATAATGGCTGCATGCCAATCTTGCACAAATCCGAGTACGAGGCGCTTGTCCTGGACACCATAAAGAACGACGATTTGGATATTGAGGACACTAACGATTTGACGGAAGTCACGCAGTTTATGCACGAGAGAGGTAGGCATGAGCTCGCGGATTGGCCAAAACATGCACGTAGAGCAAGGTATTTGGACGTTTGTTACCTGGCAACACGTGGTTTTGCAATCATGCTTTGGTTTAAGTATATGAATGTCCGCTTATCACGGGCTGTATGTTTCCTCCTCTGGAGAGCATTGCAGCCATAGACACGGGTCGTCTGATTTTCCTGCGTTTCTTACTGGTGACTCACCAGCTCCCCGGTTTCCTGTACATAGTACTGGTAATGAGTCAGTTTCTCGCGCTAACTCAACCTTCCACTAACGCTGAATAGATTTTGCCTTGAAAAGTAAGAGAGGTGTGTGAATTAGTCCTAACTCAACAAATTGTCGAGATTAATACGATATAGAAGTATCAGCTTTACCCCTTTCAATCTTCATGCTAATTCTTCCAGCTAATGACCTTGAATTTCGTAATAGGCAATTTTGAGAATTTGGCCTGAAATGATCTCCCTTTGTCAGTATATATTCCTTATTCTCTATACCTGTTGAATTTATAGTGTAGTGAAGGTAAAGTAAAGGATTTCAGTTTGTAAATATCATCAATTGATCCTTTAACAGGAATTTTGATGCACTACAATGACCCAAATCAAGATCTTCAGGATCTTTTCTTCATTGATCCCCAGTGGCTTTGCGAGTTGATGGCACAAGTCGTGACGCTACCTGTAGTTAATCCGTTCATTCATAACGGCGTCTTGAAGCTTGAAGATCTACCTCAGATTTTTAGAGGCGAGCAGTTTCCGCACGAAAACTCCCCGCAGTTCATTCGCCTGTTGAATCGTTTTCAGATCGCTTGCTCCTTGGACGAAGGTCGCGTCCTCATCCCTTCCAGATTATCGGCCCAACAACCGGATGAAGCGACGAATGATGATTTACCGTTCATTACACTGAAGCGGCTCCATTCGTTGCCATACATTCCACATGGGTTTTGGTGTCGGCTCATTTCGCGCCTGTTATATTACATGAAAGACATGCTGTCTAGCGGAGAAAACTTCAACCGCCAGGAAAACAACACCAGCCCGTTTCAGCTGGACCCCTTCTGCTGTCGGTGTCCTTTGACTGTGTATGGTGTCCAAGATGGTGGCCTGGTGGAAAGCGACTATGAGGGGCATACCTCCCCTTCTATAAATCCCGCACTCGGTGGATCGCTCGAGAATCTGCAAGGATCTCTCAACGATTTTCCCGGTATCGTTCGATTCTTTAGTGGTCAACGCAACGGAAATTACATCAACGGCAGATTTTTCGCTTATCCCGACATGGATGGCGGTAGCTCTCGGAGTGATTCGGGGTTCGAATACAGTTCGGAAGACGACGACGACGAAGCTCGCACCAGGTCGGCAGGTACTACTGATCGGACATTTCCTGGATCAAGTTCCAGGGCTGGCCCAAGAAGAAACAGAAGAATATTTAAACATGGCACTGATCCAGGGAGACGAGGTCAAGAAGATAAAATTGTTGATTTGGATAGTGGAACTCCTAAAAGTGATTCAAATGTACCTATCTTACGCCAAAATTTTCGTTTAAGCACTTCATGTCCGAGCTACGAAGACGGGTCTTGTGATACGCTTACTTCCGAAGTATCGTACACCAGCCCTGGAGTGCCGCAAGGTTCTTCCCCGGCTGACCACCGGCCATCTGCCAACTGCATGGCTGAAAATGATGATGCGGAAAATTTATCTCGACGAGGGGAACCTACCGATATCGAAGCTAGTCAAGATCTGAAGGATATCAGCAAGAGAGAAAGTCCCTCTGTAAAAATCGACGGTTTTCTAGACGACAAAACAACTCAGCATAGCAACAGTGATGATAGCGATAGTGTTCCTTACCTCTCCGCTGGATCCAGATCGTGCACTCCAGACCATACTCCTCGTGACCAAACCGACAACCATCAGAACAGCTCCGAATCAGAAGCGGCTGGGGAAAATCCTGACCTAGGTCTTCATCCTGTAGGTCGTACCCCTGATGGCTTCGATCAGAACTGTTCCTTGGCGACACCCGATAAGAAATCTAACAATCCTTCCTTAACAGATACTTGTGAAGTCCCTGAAATAGGCCAACCCGACGATAGCCTTGTTGCTGATAACCCTGAACGGTTTCCGCAATCGACAGAAAGTTATTCAGAAGGACCACATAATCAGCAAGTTACTGTAGAGAAGGAAGTCGACGGAGAGATCTCTTCCGCGTTAAACGGCCGTACATCTGATAAAGAATCCATCCTGGAGTCTTTTCATAGGGGTTCAAGCCGAGGTTCTGGTGAAACTGGAGACGTATCCATGGAGATACGGACTGTTGATGACGACAAGGAGACAAGAGGTGAAGGAAAATATAATTTGTAGATTAATCTTGGTTACTGAATTTCTCCTCAATAATCACATCACGAGATCGAGATTTTAAACATGAAGGAAAACTCGGGTCCGAACTACCAACTATCGCGCGAAAAAACATGAGCGAATATTCCAATTGTTTTGGGAGGAGAGAGTAAATATTTGTGCCCAAGAACACGACACATTGACCCGGCCAGTTCTCGAACCCACACCTCTCGGTCCGGAGGCCACTCCATTTACCATTAAGCTACTGTGTCTCTTTTTTCTCTACAATATCACCCCTGTATCACACATTAAGGTCATGAGAATAAAGGAAATGATCACCAACTGAAGAAGCTCTTGAACCCTTTGACACTTAAGAGTGGCCAGCATCTTATTTCTCCTTACAATATCGTCCCTGAATCACACGTTAAGGTCATGAGAATAAAGGAAATGATCACCAACGAAAGAAGCGCATGATTGGTAAACAAATTCTCCTTGTCGGCACTTTAGGGAATGTATGAAGAGCAGTATAGAGAATATGTATTCTGATTTTAGGGTGTAAAGGGCTGAGCAAGTAAACGTTTTTCTTCTTTCCGAATGAGATACTAGTCAAAAACAAGTAACCTTTCTTCATTTTCTTGCATTTAATTGTGTTGTTGAACAAGAAATTGAGTCTTTAGGTGCTACTTCTGGGAAAGAAGTAGAAGTGATAAGTAAAAAGAATGTTTTACTAATAGTTTTTTCTCTTTATTGTCCACATATTAAAATAGCTGAACCCTTCTTGTTCTTCTTCTTCTTTGTCATTTGATAAATAAATCTTGTTTTTATTTCCATTTCATTTACTATCAGCCGGGAACCATTTGTCTGACAGCACCGCCTGTGGTATTCAGATTGAAGCGGTTGAAAACGAGTTCGTGTCGCACTTATCGTCGTACAGTTCTCCAAGTACAAGTTTTCAATCCGCTGATATCGCGATAGGAACACCGCAAAGGACTTCATCTTTTGCTGCTTCTACACCTAAACATCCTACAGATGGCACCTCCGCAGAGAGCAGGGGTGACAAACCACGGAGTGAAACACTACACCTTCCCAACTGCCCGTTCGTGGAGGAGTTCCCCGTCAATTGTCTACCGGAGTTACCGACAGATCTGGCGACGCTGATAGACGACAATTTCCTTCACTGCTGGAAATCTGGCGTTTGCCTTCGTCACCCACGGTTGTTCCTCCTGCTGCACTGTGTCCCTGACACCGGATCTGATCGACAGTTGATTCGAACGGAAGTAAGCCCTTGCCGTCAAGGTCGGAGGGTTTTGAGTTTCGCGGTTGACCACATCGACACGCTCATTCGCGAATGGTACCAAGAATTATCGACCACGGACGGACAGCAACCCAAAGTCAGGCAGCTTATTCCCTGTATGATGTGTGAAAAACTCGGCCTTGCACCCTACAAGTTCACGTTTGCCGAATGTCAGCGTCAAAGTGCAAAGTCAGACTTAATCCGTTGTCCCAATCACCCGAGCTGGGAAGTTGATCTTCACCAGGTTGCACCTGATATAATGTTACATGACGTAGATCCTGATTTATTGTTGTCGCACGAAGACGTTACATATGAGGACGCCGACTCGAGTATTCTGGGAAGTGGAGGCTTTGGAAAGGTATCTGTTTCTTCATTACATTGCACCGGTCTTTTTGTAACTGGTGTGAAATTTGCGTGTTAATGCAATTTATTATGGTTTCGTTAGAAAAGAAGCTTTTTTGCCGCAATGAATTAAGTTGAAAATTTAGGATCAAGCTGATGTGGATGGGGGTGAACTTATTATCTTCTGTCTTTTTAGAAAATTTATCGTGATAGGGGCGAACAGAGATTACAAATGCTCTGCTGCGAACTTTCCTTTTTCCCATGAACCTTGGTGTCCGAGCTATTTTTTCACCGCTTATTCTCGTTTTATTTTTATTTTGTTTCATTTTGTTCTTTTTGCTGTTTGTTCCGCCATGGCTCGCTAGTAGCAGGCTCGTTGTTAATTTCCTCGCAGTTAAAGATTTTTTTCTCAGTAGGAAGGGGCCTTAATGAATTTTCCATTCTGCCTTCCATTCTTAAGCTGCCTTCCAGTGACTGCCGATGGTGTAATAGGCGTCTGCGCCCGAAAGAGAGGCTGTAAGACCCCCCTATTGTATGGCAACGTAGTCCTGTGCTAAATCTAAGCGTCCTGATTGGCTCTTGCTTGTCGGGATTTTGCCATACGGACCGTTAAATCCTCAGCTAAGGATATACCTTCAAGCTCCCTCAGCTAGTATCGCAAGAAAAACGCAAACAGGAAATGTAAAACAAAGGCCAAAATTGTTGATATAGTCTTCTGATTTCTCAGGTCGTTCGCGGGGAATGTCGAGGACAAGCAGTCGCCATCAAGTTCTACATTCAAAGCGATGAATCCGAACCCTTAAGGCATTACCGCGAGGCGCGCAAGGAATTGAACGTGCTGCGTCGTGTACGACAGCATCCTTACCTTATCAACATCATCGGTGTATCTTTGCGTCCCTTGTGCCTTGTGCTGGAACTAGCAGAGCGCGGTGCTCTCACCGAGATCTTATCCAGCCCAAAGTTGATTGATCGCATTGTTCTCTTTCGGATTGCATATCAAGTTGCAGACGCACTGAGATTCCTTCATGACATGGGTGTCATCTATAGAGACTTAAAACCGGAAAACGTCCTTGTTTGGTCCTTGGAGGAACACGCTGATCTTCACGTCAAGCTCATTGATTTTGGCACGGCGAACTTCGCGACTTCGACTGGTTTGATTTCATGCGCTGGATCTCCCGGTAACCA